GTGGCAGTGGCTCCATGGCTAGGCTGAGTGCCCTTTCCTTCGTTTCTATCACGCTCCTGGGGATCCAGGTGCACAGCTCCAGTGGGGACACAGCAAGCAACAGGAAGGGAAACGCTAGAAACACTTTGCAAGCATGCTGGCCAAGGAAGAAAAGAACAGCCCATCGGGAAGGGACAGAAAGAGGCTTTCTTCCTGGTGAAAGGGTGGGGAAGATGGAGGAAGAGGTTAGAGCTTAAAGGAAGTGGGGAGAGGAGGGCCATGGCTGGACATTGCTTAGAGCAGTGGTTCTCAACCTTCCTAATGCCACGACCCTTTCATACAGTTCCCATGTTGTGGTGACACCCCCCCGCCCCAGCCATAAAATTATTTTTGTTGCTACTTCATAACTATAATTTTGCTACTGTTATGAATCAGGTTGAGAACCACTAGCTCAGATGCTGCAAAGTCAAACAGGTACTTCCCGAGTCGTGGTGACAGCCCTCCAGAGAGACACAATGCCCTTCACAGGTGCAAACGCAGGCTCAGAGAGGGAAGCCTTCCCAAGGTGGTGCGCGAATCACCCTCCTCATCAACCTCCAAAGCGAGGGCCAGCAGCTCCCTTGGCCTGGCTGGAGGCTGACCCAGAGCTTCATGATTTACTCCATACTCGTTCCTCTGAAGCAGTGCCCCCAGAAGACATTCGGGTGGGCAGGAGAAAAAGGTGGGGACTGGGGGGGGGCACTGGAAAAGGCTCATGTGACTCCTCCCAGATCCGCTCATAACCTATCATAGCAATGAGAAGCCACTGGGACACACTCTAAGCTGGTCTCGAGCTGGCTAAGGCAGTGAGGCCCAGAGGCTGGCTCTTCTCTGAGCTGGCTCCTGACACCCCTGGCTTTGAAAGAGGGAATCAAGGAGCACAGAAGCAACGCCTAGAGTGATAGGGCTCACATCCAGCCCTGAAAAGAAACAGCTGGGAGAGAGGCAAACAGGAGTCAGAGACGTGCTGGAGGCCGGGGGAAGAGGAAGACTCATTCTGTCTCCAGATGTCTCCCCACACCAGAGCACGGGCCAGAGAGGATGCTTTCCCACATAAGCAGACAGACTCAGGACCTTAGGGCTGCAGCCACCAGCCCTGTCTCGAAGGAGCTGCTCACTGCAATTTGGAGGGAGAGGGGAGAAGCAGCTGGATGGTTTTATACAAAGCGGCCAGTGCAAGGCGCCTCTTGAAGCGCATGGCTGTGGCAGCTCCTCATCCAGACAGTGGCAGGAATGAAGGTATCGATTACCACAGAAGGGCCCTGGTGGCACACAGGGACAAGCTCGGCTGCCCGCTGAAAGGTCCGCCCACCACTCCCCACAGAAAGACAAAGGCTGTCGGCTTCAATCAAAGATGTATAAGCCTGGAAACCTGCGGGGTCAGTTCTGCGGCCTATTCGTCGGAATCGGCTCAGAGGCATCAGGCTTGAAGTCTTGGCGGTTACTGCTCCAAAAAGAAGGAGCCCCCGTGGCATGCGGGTTCGGCTGCTCACCACAAGGTGGAGGGCTCACGCACACCAGCTGTTCTGTGGAAGTTGAGGTTGTCTGCTGCCAAAAAAGACTGAGCGCTTTTCAGGAACTCCAAATGAGGTGCTAAGAGTCAGAATCAGCTCCCTGGCTGTGGATTTTGGGTTGTGCATAGGGTGGCTGTGAGTTAGAACCGACTCGACAGCCACTAACAACACATCCTGGTGGCACAGGGGGTTAGGCACCGGGCCTCGAGCTGCAGGTGGACTTGCAAACCCAACAGCTGCTCTGTAGACGGAACGCCAAGGCCACCTGCTCCCATAAAGACTGACAGTCTGGGAAACCCTCTGTTGGTCGTGAGTGGGCTGGACTCAACACCATGGCACTGGGTTTGGAGTTCGACTCTGCATAGGAAGGGGCTTCAAACCGCTTGTGGTAAATCCCATCATCTGAGCAGTCCTTTTTTGCCTAGGGGCTTCAGAAGGCCATCTTCAAAAAGTGAAGACCCAAGAAGCTCATGGGCCCAGGTACGAACTCAGTGCTGGGCTAGCAGCAAGAGCAGCCCCACCCTCACCCCAACCCGAGCAAGCTCTGCTGACCCTGTGGACGGCATTTAAGAATGAAACACCACGCTCTGCACATGCATAAAATAAGAGCAATCATTCATTTGCTCAGCAATCGCTGTGCCACATTTGGTGAAGCGGCCCCGTGGCTGAGGCCCCTGATACCTGCGGAGACTGTCAGGGTTGAGTTCTGCCCCGGGATGGCTTCAGTGCAGTGGAGGTGCCTGGGCACACAAATACTGTTCGGTCTACAAGGGTGTCATCCTTGCACGAGGATGCCTGTCTCTTCTCCATTAACTGCACCATAGCTGCCTTGGCTGCTATGAAGCGCAGAAAGTACAGAGCGTGCACGAAGGGGAGAGGCCGCCTCCCGTCCCGTCCCTAAGCCATACCTGTCTCGGTTTTGCTGGCAAAGCCCGCGGCCTGCTTGATGGCCGCCGCTGTCAGTGCCAGCCCCCGGCTCCTCTTCAGGCCATGCTGGAAGACAGCTTCAAACTGGGCACACAGACAGGTCACCCTGCGAGAAAGGGGCTCATCAGTCAGGCATAAACCTCAGCGTGAAGGTGATTAGAGGCACCTGCCGAGTGCAGGCAGCAGCAGCGAGTTGGGGTGGAGTCGGTTCTGAATCAGGGCATACAGAGCAGACCCGCCCTGTGAGGTTCTGGAGGCTGCAGCCGTTCAGAACCAGATCGCCAGGTCTTCAGAGGTGCCTTTGAATGTGCTCAAACCACCAATCTTTGCCCTGTGGCTGAGCGCTTAACCCTCTGTGCCACCCAGGTAGGTACTTTGGAAGTACAGGTAGGGGTTTAGACATTGGCTTTACTAAAGGTGACCAGATTTAAAGTGGGACACCATTGACGGGGGGGGGGGGGGGGGGGGGGCTGTTGATTAAAAATTTGGTCTATATGGACCAAATAGACGGTTCCCTAGCTTGTCGTGGTGGGGGGGCTGTTGATTAAAAATTTGGTCTATATGGACCAAATAGACGGTTCCCTAGCTTGTCGTGCATTCTTTCCAAAAATCGGGACTGTCCCACCAAAAGCGGGACGTCTGGTCACCTTAGCTTTACTACCTCTCTTCAATGGGTGTATGTTTTACCTGCCACAGGAAGCCCCCCACAGCTAGGCCCTGTGCCCCAGACGCCTGAAAGCTGACTGGCAATTCACAGCAACAAGGGAAATGCAGCCAGCCAGCAGGGGATTTAAAAAGAAAAGCCAATTTAAAAACAAATCAGTTTAGGGGGCTGAGTATTAATTGTATCCAATTCACTACTTTCAACTCTAATTCGTATCACACAGTTTAAGGAATAAGCTTTTCTTTTCAGAGCATGAACTCGCCAGCCTGCCAAATTGGAAACACTGTGTAATTTCATGGCCTGTTACATACATTGAAAAGTAAGATGGATTCTGATTCCTGTTCTTGATTCTGTTATAAGTGATTACATTGTAAAGCCAGACCAGGGTTGACAGAATTTTCAATTAAGTTACAATCGCTGTGCACATAATTAAATTGATTTCTCCATAACCAAAGAAATGGGAGATGAAGGGACTTGTTCCCACAAAGATGAGGTCACAGCAACGACACGACCCCCCACCCCCAGGGTTTCTCAACAACCCCAGAGGGTCCCGGGGCGCAGGGGCTGGTAGATCTTCAGACTTGGGTCTCTTCTAGGCACTCATTTGACACCTGCTTCCTGCCACGCGCCAGAACCCTTTTCTAAGCTCTGGGGATACAAAGGTGGGAGTGGCACACGTAGGTGAGCTCGCCACACATCTGCATCATTCTGGAAGGAGCCCTATTAGTGCAACAGTTGAGCAGTTTGGCAGTTCGAACCCGGCAACAGCTCCTCAGTGGAAAGACCTGGTCACGTGCTCCATATATTGGCGATAAGAAAACTCCAGGCTGGTTCTACTCTGTCTCTGGGGCTGCTGTGAGTCAGAACTGACAGCACAGCACCTAACAACAACAACAAGGAGAGCGACACACAAACAAATAAGCTTCATTTCAGATGGCGAGAACTTTCAAGAAAATACAATAGGACAAGGTGGTGGGTGTCCTGGTTTCCGGAAGCCATCTCATGAGGTATAATTCTGGGGACTGGCTTAGGCTGCATGGCCTGAATAGCGTGACCCTGGAGCTATGTGACTGGGGCATGACAGGCAGCAACAGGTTGGGCAATGAGGCCCCATATGAAGGCCGTGAGGTCATTATCATCTGGCTACCCCTGGCCCACATGCATGTCCTGCCTCCTGCACCCACAGCCACACCTGCAGTAATGACAGCTGGAGTGTTTATCACTCTGTGGGTGGTAAGAACATGTTCACAGTCATTGTTCCACTAGCCCCTCCCCAGCCAGTGCTATGATAACAGAGGTGCAGGTCTCCCTGCCTCCATTTCCCACTGGGAGAAACCAAGGTGAAAGGCACTAGGGAGCCTCTGAAGCTAGACCAGCAGCAGCAGCCCTCTCATCCCGGTAAGCTTCACAGCCCCACCAGCCCACCAAGGCAGCACCTTCCTCCTCTCTGCAGAGACAAAGGGCCTCTCACTTCCTCCCCAACCTTTGCTCAAGTGCTGCAGCAACAGCAGAGAACCCTGGCCTGGCCTTAGCAGAGACACAGAACTGAGGCTGGGGCCATGGCCACGACTGGCCCTGGCAGCCCAGCCCAGCAGAAGTCGCCACTGCAAAATGGTCCACGGTGACTCTCCCCACAACTAACCACAAAATAAAATTTAAAAACCAGACCAGCAGCTGTCAGCTTGATTCCAACTCCTGGCCACCCCACAAGCCAAAGTGGGGCTGCTCCATCAGGTTTGCCATGGCTGTGGCCTACCAGAACCCGAGAGACCTCTCAAAAAATTCTGACCCACCGCGACCCTATAGGAAAGGATAACACTGCCCCCACGGGTTTCCGAAACTGTAGTCCTTCGTGTGAGTAGAAATCCTCATCTTTCTCCCAAGGAGGGCTAGTGGTTTCCAAACGCTGACTTAGTGGCCCAGCGTGTAACCACTGCACAACCAGGGCTCCTCAAGGTGGGTTCAAACCACTAACCTTGCAGTTAGTCAACGAGCACTTAACTTTCTGTGACACCCAGTACCTCCATCCAATCCCACCTTGCCTTCCCTCTGTCCCCTGAATCTGGCCAGGGGCCTGGCACCCGGCGCATGGTCTGGGAACAGTGTTTCAGTGGGCTGGCAGTGGGTGACCTTGAACCACATGACCAGACTATTCCCCTTCGCAGAAGCACTCAGTCTGCAGCCTACATGTACCCGCAGGCCTATGATCAGAAACCAGACGGGCTCCAGGAAAGTCATCAAAAGTAAATTCCACAGTAACTGAAACGGAAGCCAGGCAAATAAAACCTGACAAGCCCTTGCCTCCAGGGGAAAAACATCCTGGCCTGTTTAGCTCGCTGCTGGTTGAGTTCCTGCCGACTCATAACAACCCGATAGGGCTGAGCCGCCCCTGTGAGTTTCCCAGACTGTAACTCTTTATGGGAGTAGAAAGCCCTGTCGATCTCCCACAAGGCGGTTTCAAACTGCTGAGCTTTCAGATCACAGCCGACATGGAACCACTAGACCACCAGTCCTGTTGGGCTGTGTTTAGAGTTCTCCAAAATTAACTAAAGCCTTTATACCTTCCCTTGTTTGCAGACATGACATCCATGCAGCACCTGGTACAGGTGGAAACAAGGAGACCTTTCAAAATCAGGGTCGAGGAAAGGAGACTTTGCCACAACTTAAGGCATCATTATCGTTGTTTTTACATAACAATAATGATGTCACCAGGCAAGCATGACAGCAATGGCGAGAAGGAAATAGGAAGGGCAACCAGGCCATGAGCTTTGAGGTCTGTTTGCCCAGGGACAAAAGATGGAGCCTACAGTCCACCCACGTCAAAGAGAGCAACTCCTCTTCCCTTGCCATCCTCAATCCAATGGTGCCAAAAGCCAGCCCGCTTTCTAGAAGTCCCTAAAGCACAGGTTCAGACTGACTGCTGTCAATTCTGGCTCTACCACTTGGCGACAGCCCTCGGAGAACAGGGCCACGAGGAGTGAACTGACCAGAAGATACTCTGTCTTCAGCACAATTTTAAACACACACAGACATACACACACACTCCAAACACAGTGTCACTGAGTCAATTCTGACTCACAGTGACCCTGCAGGGCTGGGGAGAATGGCCCCCGTGAGTTTCTGAAACGGTAACTTCACAGGAGTAGAAAGGCCCATCTTCCTCCCAAGGAACGGCTGGTGGTTTCCAACTGTTGATCTAGCCCTTAGCAGGCCAACTCGTAGCCACTGGGCCACCAGGGCTTCCTTAGGCATTCTCAGACTGTCAGTCTGATACGATACGCTGAAACTCAAGCTGGAGAAACACGAAACAGGCCCATGGAAAACTAACAACGCAGGCAGTCCACGCCAGAGGCGGGCTCACTAAGTGCCGGCAAAGCAGAATTGCAGGCTTTGGCTTTAAGCAGGGTTCCTGACTCTTGGGCTCTTGGTATTTTTGGACCAGACGATTCTCTGCCCTGGGGGGGTTGTCCTGTGCACTGAGGATGTTGAACAATATCCTGGCCTCATACTGCTGAATGCCATATCACACCCCCTCTTGCTCCCTGTTGTAAGGACATTGCCAACTGTGTCCTGGGCAGCAAAAACACCCTTGGCTGGGGACCACGTGATCAGACTGACTCTGGGGTCCATTCCAGCTCTGCCACCCAGGAACTCTGGGAGCTTCGTGTTTTCTTACCCATGAACCAGGTTCCCTCACTGGCTGTGAGCAGGTGCATGAGGAACTCCAACGGGAAGTCATGTCACCCACTCTAGCTCTCAAGCTGACTGGGCAGAAGATCCACCCAAGGTGCTTTTATAGGGCACCAGTGGCCAGGCCCAACCCAGATCCATCTGAAGGTCAGTCAGGGCACAGCCATTTCTTTGAACTCACCATAGAGCACCCAGGACCTGGCACCACATTATCCTTCCATTAGACTCTGGTGTCTCTGGTGAGCCCCAGGTTAGGAGACACAGGGGCATTGTCAACACAACTTGGAACTATCCATCCGAGTCTTCCTAGCCCTCGTCCTTTCACCCTGGGCCACTGTGTCTGAGTAGGGAGCCCTGGTGGCACAGTGGGTAACACATGGGCTGCTAACCATGAGGTTAGCAGGTGGAAACCACCAGTCATTCCCTAAGGATCTACAGCCTCAGAAACCCCCAGGGGCGGTGCCCTATTGGGCTGCTGTGAGTCGGAATCAAGCCCAGGGCAATGAGTTTGGTTTGGTTGGAGGGACCAGAGCCATACCTTAAAATGGTGTGAATCTCAGGCACAATCTTTTGGCAGTTTGTTTGGTTACCCTGCCAGCTCCAGATAAAACATGGCCCCAGCTGGAATGGAGGTGAACAGCCTAAAGCTAGTGTCCCTGCTGCGTAAGATCAGTCACACACAAGCCCTGGGGAGCTACTGTCAGTCTGACACAGGTGACCACAGCAGGACACTCTGCTTGCCACAGGTCCTG